TTCTAAGTCTGTTTCACTGCTGCCCTCGTTACTAGCTGCTGCTGTGTCCTGCTGAAACGTAAGTTTATTTGTTATTAGGGAAATTAATGCGAACAAATATATTTATGATTTTCGAACATTACTCTGATTATTTCAAGGAATACAAGATACTTACACTTCTTACATCTTCTGAGTCTGTTTCACTGCTGCCCTCGTTACTAGCTGCTGCTGTGTTCTGCTGAAACGTAAGTTTATTTGTTATTAGGGAAATTAATGCGAACAAATATATTTATGATTTTCGAACATTACTCTGATTATTTCAAGGAATACAAGATACTTACACTTATTACCTTTCTTTTTTCTTCTTCGATGGTGTTTATATGGAGATTTTAGCTCAATGTAGGCTCTTTCTCCGAGTAGACTTGTGTGTGTGTATGATCGCTAGGCGACCGATTAGCCGGCTGTATCGAACAGCCATACGTACGCGCGGGAAATAAATGCCTTCCGGGAGGACTTTTATGGGGAACTGGCCTGCTATTCAGTCGTTATAGGCAAGGAGAAAACCCGGAAAACTCCAAGCAGCCAGCCTGTCCGACCGTGGCGCGAACCCACGACGAACCTCCCAGTCTTTAGGGTCTGGTCACCACTACGATGAGCGGCAACGGAGACCACTCGCCCACTAGTTTCTCTCTATTCTCTCTTGTTTTATTTTATACTAGTAGCCCGGGACGCCCCCTAGTGGGCGTTTTAGCAGTATTACAAATTCCTATAAGGCATGTTTAATGCACTTAATATATGAAAGTTGTGTGCTTAATTTTTAAGTTTGATGTACTTAATATCAAACTTAATTTAAGTTTGATATTAAAATTAAGTTTGATGTACTTAATATATATAAATGTATACAACTGTTTCTTTGGTCGTGCCATGAAAGGTTTCTATTATTATATTAAAAAATTAGCTTAACTATTTCAAACCCTATCGTTTTATCGTAGCGGTTCAAATCTATCCGGTTTTTCGTTATTCGTACCCTAGTGAACATTACAGGCATTCCGTGACAATAATAAATTCCTATTACAAATATAATGAATTATTTATATTGTTATATTGACCAAATAATAATTTATTGGCCAAATGACTAATAATAATTTATATTGTTCATTTAAATAATAATTAAAATTGTTAATTTAATTTGAATGTTTTAAATATGACACACGATAGGGGTGCCTCTAGTGTCCGTTATCAAACGGTTACGGGACGGACGGAAGGAAGGACGGATACATGTTGAATGGGTTATATATATAGATACTTTTCACTAAAATTCAAAGACATCTCAAATGAAATTTAAACATCTGTTGATGTATGAATTATTAATAGATTTGTAAGTGACTTAATAGGAACACATTTTTTGTCAGCTGTTAAATTCATATTTTTCATTGAAAATCTTTGAAATTTAACATTTACAGATATAAACTCTTTCAATTTCATCATATCCATTAAAAAAACCAAAGAAACATATTTAGATGTTTATATGTTATTTTTGCTGTTGCATGTTATGAAACTATAGGAACAGAAAGTTTAAAAATAATAAAATTTATTTCTATTTATATCATATTTATAATTTTTAAATTTGAAATTATGTCAAATTTATCAAATTATATTATTTAATATCACACTATTATAAAAGCACTTGTTTACAATTTTTTTTAAATAAAAAGCTAAAAAAGTTTAGCTATTTCAGAATCAAAAATAATAATTTTTTAATATTAATTTTAAAATAATTATTTTATTACAGGAAAAATAAATTATATGGAAATTTTTCATAATTCAGTTGTAAACCAATAAAAATCTTAAAAATGTTTAAATACTTGTATATATTTATTTTTCCTAACAGAATCTGCATTGAAATACAGTACATCAATTATTATCCAATAATTTTTTTAACTAAATTTATCAAGAAAAATTCATTGTTTTATCCTTATCATTTTCAGATATATTTTTTTAGACAAATATATTTTTTAAAGACAAAAATACAATATATTTATATCTAATCAGACATAGATATAATATCTAATTGTTATAAAAACCAAACAAATCTAAAGTAATTTTTAAAATAAAATATAATAAAAGCTAATTACCATAGATTATCAAATCATTAAAAAAAAGTAAAAAGTTATTCATTGATGAAATTACTGGTCTTTGATAAATTATCCCAAGAATATCAGAACAGTTTACAAAAAATCAATAACATTTGTATGAATATTCAGCAATTGCTTTTTATATCTTTCAATAACTTGATAACCTAATTTATTTTTGGTTAATAGGCTTTTCCTGACTGTTAGAGTGACTATCACTTAAAAAAGGAGTACTGTGTTGAGTGTTGATTTTGCATTTTTACTTAATTCAAAATTTAATTGTTTTTACAGAAATGATAATGTCAGATTCTTACACATGCATATTTATTTATTCAAGTATAATTTTGTATATTAAAGAATCTAATTTATTACTTTTATTAGCAATGAAACGCTAAATGTTTTGGTTTATCTCTAAACTATAATAATAATATTCTAAAACTTACAAAAGTAATGTGCAACTACTAATATACCCTTTAAAGTTTCATATAAATTATATAAAAGCTAAAAATACAAGAATAGTAGTAACGTAGATTAAATTTTATGCATCATATATATGATCATCTCAAATATTAAATCTTCCTCCCAGTGTGAAACACTGTATGTGGATGACTTTCAGATCTCTTGCCCGTCTAGTAACATGAGTTTCATTGAGAGACAACTGCAAACCTCCCTAAATTGCATAGACAATTAGGCCAAGACCAATGGCTTTAGTTTTAACACGGAGAAGACCTCATGCATCCACTTTTGCTGAAGGCGTGGTTTGCACCTAGATCCCGAAATTCCCCTAAACAGGGTTAAAATCCCAATCGTCAAGGAGGCTAAGTTTATGGGTGTTACATTTGACCAAAAACTGACTTTCTTACAACATTTGTGCATCTTGAAGAGTAGATGTTTAAAATCTCTGAACCTCTTAAAGGTATTATGCTGTTTATCCTGGGGAGCAGACAAATATTCTATGCTCAGGATTTATAGGGCCATTGTCTGCTCAAAGCTGGACTACGGATGCATTGTTTATGGCTCTGTGCAAGAATCTACTCTTCAGATGCTGAATCCAATCCACCATCAAGCATTGCGTTTATGCACTGGTGCTTTTTGAACTTTTCCTGTTCAAAATTTGTACATGGATGCTCATGAGCCTCCACTATCTCTTAGGAGAGAACAGTTGTCTCTTTTTTATTACATTAAACAGAAATCTCAGAATAAACTTTCAGCTGATTGTCCAGATACTCAGCTGAAAAGATTATTTGCAGCTCAGATGAGTAGTATCCCTACTTTCAACATGAGAATGGAGAATGTCAGCACGATTGACCTGGACACAAGCAACATCTCACAGGTTGAGGTTAATAGTATTTCACCTTGGTCAACCCCAGCGATAAATGTTGACTTAAGCTTAAAGCAGTTCCCAAAAGAAACCATGCCAGATTACGTCTATAGACAGCACTTTGCAGAAATTCAACACTGTGACAGGAATTTAATTCCTATATACACTGATGGATCTAAATCGGATAACTAGGTTGGCTCAGCCTTTGTTTGCCAGGATGAAATCATGGCAGAGCAAATAGCACTGAATTCTTCCATCTTTTCTGCTGAGTTGCAGGCTATTTATTTAGCCCTAAATTATATAAATATGAAAGGTCATCGTTGCTGCGTGATTTACACTGACTCAGTTAGTGCACTTCAGGCTTTGATCTCATCTGAACCTAGTTCTCATTCTATTGATTAAAATTCATAATCTGATTTGCCATCTTCTTGCAAGAAATTTCTCTATAAAATTTTGTTGGGTCCCAGGCCATGTAGGTATAAGAGAAAATGAAGAAGCTGACGCAGCTGCAAAGTCAGCAAGTCTGTCTCAGCATACAATGTTTATTGAAGGAGGCGATTTGAAGCTAGTTGTTAAAAAAAATGACTAGCAGAGAGATGGCAAAATTTGTGGAATGCACAAGTCCACAATAAACTATATGAGAACCTATGATAGAGAATTGGACACATAAGAAACCCTATGACAGGAGATCTGAGGTTATTTTCACTCGTTTGAGAATTGGACATACTCGGTTGACTCATCAATACCTTTTGAAGGGCAACAAGCAGCCAGTATGCCAGTATTCCAACTGTCCTCTTACTATAAAACACATACTGCTTGATTGCTCTGCTTTTGAGACCAGGCATAGACAGTATTTTGGGACAGGGTGTTCGAAAGAGATTCTGGGCCAGAGGCCCAATCTTTATAATGTATTGGACTTTTTAAAAGTCACTAATTTGTATACAGAGATTTAACTATTTATTTATTTATTTTTCACTTTTTCAAGTATTATTTGTTTGTCATTATTATGTATATACTCGTTGTTGTTTTTTTGTTGTTATAATATATAATATATATATGTCGAGTTGGGCAAATTAACCATTTGGTGTGGCGCAGATTGGCGTCTTTAGCCCTTGCTCCAAAAAACTGCAACCAACCAACTCAAATATTAAAAATAATACAATGACTTCAAAATAAAACATGTAAAAATAATAAGGCTTAGTAATGAAAAAAGAAAATAAAGATAGAGAAAGATTAATAGACAATGAAAACTAATATATACAAAAACAATTACTTTTTAAGTACATATATATTAAACTATCAAAATATATATAATTTTTACATTTAATTCACATTTATCATATAAATGGCAAACTGTTATCTATATGAATAATAAGTAGTAAGATAATGATAATGCACTGTAGTCAAACTGCTTATAAAAATATATTTGATATGACTATTAATCATGCTTGTTGTAAAACATATTTAACATATGATAAATAATGATATATTAAATGCATCTTACATAAAGCATGATTTACAATATGTTACACATAATAATGCAATTTGGTGTAATTTTGTGTTTAACATCTGACAGTTAATATAACTAATTTCATGAAGTAAACTCAACTAATTTCATGAAGTAAACTCAATATTGTTTTTAATTGGTTAGTTCTATGTATGTAAATAAAACTGTATTTATATATAAATTGAAAAAGAAATTTATCCTAACGATTCAATTTTATTGAATCTCCTGTTTTCAATTAAGAAATACAACATTGCTTTCTAGAGCAATTTCTTATTAAACACAATTTACAGATTTCTTGGAAAAGTTGAGGTATAACAATATTCATATCGTGTTACAGACACTTATGTAAGAGCAACTGCTGAAGGACTTTTGGTCTAAAATGCATTTTGCAAAAAGAGAAAATGCCTTATATTATATCTCAACTATTTACAAAATTTTTAACTGTGTTTAATAAAGAATTGCTCTGAAAGTCAATGTAATATTTTGTAAGTTAGACAGCAAAAGATTGAAAAGGAAATGCTAAAAATTCCCTAATGGATAAATTAATTAATAGATGAAATTATAACAAAGATATAAACTTTAGCTAAGGATTCAAAGTTTTATAATTCTAACATTTTTTATGTAATGTATTTTTTTTAAATAACTTTCTTACCTCAAGTTTTTCATAGGACCATACTTCTATGTTGATGAAAATGAATTAACAAAGAAGAATAGTCCTATGAGAAGAATTACATAAATAAAAATAAAATAGGACTGAAATAAAATTAAATAAATAAATTCATAATTCTGTTATTTAATAAGTAAATATAAAAACAGAAGTAATAGCAATATTAATTGAATGTTAATTTTTTTTATTTCTTTAAAATAAAACTATATAACTAATACTTCAAATTTGTCATAAAATTTTACTCAATATAAAACTACGAAGTATTTTCATTTGATAAGCATAGTAAAATCAGATCAATTTTACAAATATTAATTCAAGTTTATCACTGCTTAATATTGTCAGAAATTCTGGATAACACTAAAAGCAATTATGTTTTAAGGCAATGTCCAGAGACATTGCTCATTACTCTAATAGGAAATTACTTAAAATTTTAAATACTAATAATTTCATATCCATAATAAAACATTTTATTGAATAAAAAGAAGAACTACTATAAACACTTTGAATTTACAATATATTTTGAAGCATACAAATAAATTAACTAAGAAAATACTTGAGCATAAATAAATGATTTTTTTTTTGTATAGTTACTTTAAGAAAATGAAATTAATCTATTTAAATTTTTATTGTTTTAATAGAGTGGTGATAATATAAATTAATTCTTAAATTCTTGACTATTAAATAAAAATGAAATTCTTATAAATTAAAAAAATAAAAAAAAATTAGTATAGTTAAGCTTACACATATGTAAATTGTATTAGCATAGTTTAAAAACAAACAATTTTTTCTTTTAAAAAATTTATCAAATAATTCCACATTTTCTGTCACAGTATTCATATATAGTAGAATCTACTCGCTGTAATCACACATACTGTTATTAGTCATATAATGTCATCAAAATTAGCAAATTCCAAAACATAAGTTTGCTTAATGTAATCAGTGTTTTGTTACTGCTAACATTATCTTCAAGTAATTATGCATTTTTAAGCCACTTTTTTCCTCCTATCAGCATCAAAATGTGGCTGTAATATACAATCATCATCAGTTTTAACCAGTGTTTAGATGTTAAATGCTACTTATTTTAATCATTATTTGCTCACAGTNAATAATAATTTTATTAATTTTCAATTTAAAATTTTCTTTTCTGTTTGACAAAAAAGTGGAAGGAAATTTAAGAAAAAAAAATCTAAATCCATACTCTAACATATGAACATGAAATAAAAATACACAGAGCAGATTAAATCTGACAATAGTAAAGTATGGAGAATATTTAGAATGACAAGATTATGGGAAAACTTCAAGAAAATTATTTTTGTGTAGCTAATGACAGAATTTAGTGAATGGGTTATAAGTGATTTTATGACAGCTGTGACAGGATTTGGTAGTTTCAGTTCTAGTGCTGAGCACTGAAAAAAATCTGTCATAACATTCTGCCATAGTATAGTTCTATCTCTCTACCACTTGTACTTACAACTATGTACAGTACTGTTGATCACAGGAAAATGCTGAGTTTTTGAATGCTCAAGCATTGCAGTGAAATAATATCCATCCATATCATCTTTGCCTTCATTTATTACAGATACTTCAATGTAGAGTATCAAATACTGATTCAAATCAATCTTTGTAGAAGTTCATACATATTGGAGATCTGAACATCTATATTACAAATTCCGTTGACAATAAAATAACAATAAACATCAGCAACAAAGGATTTGAAATAGTTGCAGATAATGTAAGAGGAAAGGTATATCTACAATGAGATTACCTAAGAATCTGGCTGAGCATACCAAGAGGCACCATTGGGTGGATGATGAGGTGGTTTACTGCTAGCTGAGGGATGATATAGATGAAAACTGCTTGCATGGTGAGCATATAATTGTTGTTGGTGTTCAGAACTTAATGCCTGTTGAGCATGAGAATGACTGTAATCAATTGTACTTGGATGTACAAATACCTGTGGTTTTAAGGGTAGATGTTGTAATGATGTGTCTGGCACATAATGATGCATGTGGGGAATTGCTGCTGCAGCAGCAGCTGCTGCTGCTTCGGTAAAAGAAGTAGTATCAGATATACCTGGATGAAATTTTTCTCTTGGTGACACAGAAGCAGGAGGAGTCATGGCACTGTAGGTGTCCATATAACTACTCATGGTTACGGGAGCAGTGGAATAACCCGGTATCACACCATATGATTCTGCTGCCATTTTTGCAGGTATCATAAATTGTGGAGTTTGTTCAGTATATGATTCTCCTCCACTGCTGGGTGGAGTTGGAAGGGTTCCTTGTACTTCTCCATAATATGAAGAACGACTAACGTGTGTACCTGACCTAATAACAGATTCTCTGTTCACATACAATTGTCTTAAAAATGAAGATGCTGGTAATGTTGTTTGTGATCCACCTATCCACTGAATTGTGGATCGCTGCGATTGTTGAGGGTGTGACTGAGATTTTTGTGATAGTGTCTCTTGACTTAAATTTGTATGATTTGTAGTTCCCACTGAGGGAAGATGTTTATTCATTGCATCTTCAAGCTCTTTTACTGACATTGCTGAAGCACCATTAGTCTCTATATGGGAAGAACGAAGAGAATTAGGAGAACGCTTCCATGGTCTGGCAACTCCTTTTTGACTATCGCTGTCACTATTTGCCTGAATTTCTGGCCTGTTTAATTGATCATGTGGACTGGATGTATCTTCTCTATGGGATAACAATGTTCTTTCAGGACTAACCACAACATTTCTTTCGCCATTAGGTAAATAGTCACTGCCTGACATAGGACTGCTATTAAGACTAGACACACTTGCTGTCTGTGACTTTGGACTGGTTTTATGATCATCAACTGTTATACATTCTGCAGGAAGTTTTCTTTTACGTTGCCTACTATGATGGCTTTGATGAATTCCAATATCTCTGGAAGATTTTTCTTCCACATAATGTGGTGTATCAACGGTTAGATCTAGCTGTTCAGGATCAACATCAAAATCTCCAGTAGAATCCTCTTGACCACATCCTGTTTCCTAAATACAAAAAGTATTCAATATATTATAACACAATAAAACATAAAAATATAAATATAAAATAGTTTAGCTAAAATAACTTAATATATTTTATGCATTAATTATACTAAATATTCTTTTATCCTGCATAAAAGTTCATTAACAGAATTCATAGTTTCAAGAAAAGCCATCTTCATTAGATCAATAATTGTTATTGAAGAAAAATTTATAATAATTCAAAGCTAAGTACATTTTTCTTTTTATAATCAAAACGTTGACTATAATTTCACTGAAATTTCAGGCAATGCTTGAATGTCTTTCTTTGTTATAAAACTTACTAATAATTTCTTACAAAATGAGAGCTTAAATGGCAAAAATATCTCAAATTTCTCAAAAAACTTTAATTGACAAATAATAAATTATTAAATATTGTCAAATACTTTAATTTTAATATTTCATTCAATATTCATATATTTCATTCACCTGACTATTAATATAATTTTCTCATTGTTTCAATGAGAAAATTATATTAATAGTCAGGTGAAAGCATGGAATTTTTTAAAACCCACATTATTTTCTCATAATGTAGTGTATTAATTTTTACAAGATAGTTAATAGATATTTATTTAATATTTTTTTTAAAATAAAGATTAAAGATCTAGGATGAAATAGTTTTAAAAATTTGCATATAGGAGAAAATAACCAACCTATAAAGAAAAGTCAACTCCACTAATGTTAATTGTGTTCTGATGATTGTAAATGGACATTCAGTACACTTCAAAAATATTTTCCTGATTTAGTTTTTCAATATTGTAATTTTTAAATAAATTTTTTTATTTAATTTTTTTATTCTTCTCAAATAAGAAGTTAAACTTGTGTGCACAGCCTTGATAAGCTTCAATAATCATATCTAACTCTCTCAAATTTTAATAAGAAATACTTTAATTTTATAATTTTTTAAATCTATAATTCATGTTAGAAAATATTAATCTTATGAAAACAGTAAATAATTTCAAACAATTTGGTTTGCANACTAGTTTCTCTCTATTCTCTCTTGTTTTATTTTATACTAGTAGCCCGGGACGCCCCCTAGTGGGCGTTTTAGCAGTATTACAAATTCCTATAAGGCATGTTTAATGCACTTAATATATGAAAGTTGTGTGCTTAATTTTTAAGTTTGATGTACTTAATATCAAACTTAATTTAAGTTTGATATTAAAATTAAGTTTGATGTACTTAATATATATAAATGTATACAACTGTTTCTTTGGTCGTGCCATGAAAGGTTTCTATTATTATATTAAAAAATTAGCTTAACTATTTCAAACCCTATCGTTTTATCGTAGCGGTTCAAATCTATCCGGTTTTTCGTTATTCGTACCCTAGTGAACATTACAGGCATTCCGTGACAATAATAAATTCCTATTACAAATATAATGAATTATTTATATTGTTATATTGACCAAATAATAATTTATTGGCCAAATGACTAATAATAATTTATATTGTTCATTTAAATAATAATTAAAATTGTTAATTTAATTTGAATGTTTTAAATATGACACACGATAGGGGTGCCTCTAGTGTCCGTTATCAAACGGTTACGGGACGGACGGAAGGAAGGACGGATACATGTTGAATGGGTTATATATATAGATACTTTTCACTAAAATTCAAAGACATCTCAAATGAAATTTAAACATCTGTTGATGTATGAATTATTAATAGATTTGTAAGTGACTTAATAGGAACACATTTTTTGTCAGCTGTTAAATTCATATTTTTCATTGAAAATCTTTGAAATTTAACATTTACAGATATAAACTCTTTCAATTTCATCATATCCATTAAAAAAACCAAAGAAACATATTTAGATGTTTATATGTTATTTTTGCTGTTGCATGTTATGAAACTATAGGAACAGAAAGTTTAAAAATAATAAAATTTATTTCTATTTATATCATATTTATAATTTTTAAATTTGAAATTATGTCAAATTTATCAAATTATATTATTTAATATCACACTATTATAAAAGCACTTGTTTACAATTTTTTTTAAATAAAAAGCTAAAAAAGTTTAGCTATTTCAGAATCAAAAATAATAATTTTTTAATATTAATTTTAAAATAATTATTTTATTACAGGAAAAATAAATTATATGGAAATTTTTCATAATTCAGTTGTAAACCAATAAAAATCTTAAAAATGTTTAAATACTTGTATATATTTATTTTTCCTAACAGAATCTGCATTGAAATACAGTACATCAATTATTATCCAATAATTTTTTTAACTAAATTTATCAAGAAAAATTCATTGTTTTATCCTTATCATTTTCAGATATATTTTTTTAGACAAATATATTTTTTAAAGACAAAAATACAATATATTTATATCTAATCAGACATAGATATAATATCTAATTGTTATAAAAACCAAACAAATCTAAAGTAATTTTTAAAATAAAATATAATAAAAGCTAATTACCATAGATTATCAAATCATTAAAAAAAAGTAAAAAGTTATTCATTGATGAAATTACTGGTCTTTGATAAATTATCCCAAGAATATCAGAACAGTTTACAAAAAATCAATAACATTTGTATGAATATTCAGCAATTGCTTTTTATATCTTTCAATAACTTGATAACCTAATTTATTTTTGGTTAATAGGCTTTTCCTGACTGTTAGAGTGACTATCACTTAAAAAAGGAGTACTGTGTTGAGTGTTGATTTTGCATTTTTACTTAATTCAAAATTTAATTGTTTTTACAGAAATGATAATGTCAGATTCTTACACATGCATATTTATTTATTCAAGTATAATTTTGTATATTAAAGAATCTAATTTATTACTTTTATTAGCAATGAAACGCTAAATGTTTTGGTTTATCTCTAAACTATAATAATAATATTCTAAAACTTACAAAAGTAATGTGCAACTACTAATATACCCTTTAAAGTTTCATATAAATTATATAAAAGCTAAAAATACAAGAATAGTAGTAACGTAGATTAAATTTTATGCATCATATATATGATCATCTCAAATATTAAATCTTCCTCCCAGTGTGAAACACTCTCTGTATGTGGATGACTTTCAGATCTCTTGCCCGTCTAGTAACATGAGTTTCATTGAGAGACAACTGCAAACATCCCTAAATTGCATAGACAATTAGGCCAAGACCAATGGCTTTAGTTTTAACACGGAGAAGACCTCGTGCATCCACTTTTGCTGAAGGCGTGGTTTGCACCTAGATCCCGAAATTCCCCTAAACAGGGTTAAAATCCCAATCGTCAAGGAGGCTAAGTTTATGGGTGTTACATTTGACCAAAAACTGACTTTCTTACAACATTTGTGCATCTTGAAGAGTAGATGTTTAAAATCTCTGAACCTCTTAAAGGTATTATGCTGTTTATCCTGGGGAGCAGACAAATATTCTAAGCTCAGGATTTATAGGGCCATTGTCTGCTCAAAGCTGGACTACGGATGCATTGTTTATGGCTCTGTGCAAGAATCTACTCTTCAGATGCTGAATCCAATCCACCATCAAGCATTGCGTTTATGCACTGGTGCTTTTTGAACTTTTCCTGTTCAAAATTTGTACATGGATGCTCATGAGCCTCCACTATCTCTTAGGAGAGAACAGTTGTCTCTTTTTTATTACATTAAACAGAAATCTCAGAATAAACTTTCAGCTGATTGTCCAGATACTCAGCTGAAAAGATTATTTGCAGCTCAGATGAGTAGTATCCCTACTTTCAACATGAGAATGGAGAATGTCAGCACGATTGACCTGGACACAAGCAACATCTCACAGGTTGAAGTTAATAGTATTTCACCTTGGTCAACCCCAGCGATAAATGTTGACTTAAGCTTAAAGCAGTTCCCAAAAGAAACCATGCCAGATTACGTCTATAGACAGCACTTTGCAGAAATTCAACACTGTGACAGGAATTTAATTCCTATATACACTGATGGATCTAAATCGGATAACTAGGTTGGCTCAGCCTTTGTTTGCCAGGATGAAATCATGGCAGAGCAAATAGCACTGAATTCTTCCATCTTTTCTGCTGAGTTGCAGGCTATTTATTTAGCCCTAAATTATATAAATATGAAAGGTCATCGTTGCTGCGTGATTTACACTGACTCAGTTAGTGCACTTCAGGCTTTGATCTCATCTGAACCTAGTTCTCATTCTATTGATTAAAATTCATAATCTGATTTGCCATCTTCTTGCAAGAAATTTCTCTATAAAATTTTGTTGGGTCCCAGGCCATGTAGGTATAAGAGAAAATGAAGAAGCTGACGCAGCTGCAAAGTCAGCAAGTCTGTCTCAGCATACAATGTTTATTGAAGGAGGCGATTTGAAGCTAGTTGTTAAAAAAAATGACTAGCAGAGAGATGGCAAAATTTGTGGAATGCACAAGTCCACAATAAACTACATGAGAACCTATGATAGAGAATTGGACACATAAGAAACCCTATGACAGGAGATCTGAGGTTATTTTCACTCGTTTGAGAATTGGACATACTCGGTTGACTCATCAATACCTTTTGAAGGGCAACAAGCAGCCAGTATGCCAGTATTCCAACTGTCCTCTTACTATAAAACACATACTGCTTGATTGCTCTGCTTTTGAGACCAGGCATAGACAGTATTTTGGGACAGGGTGTTCGAAAGAGATTCTGGGCCAGAGGCCCAATCTTTATAATGTATTGGACTTTTTAAAAGTCACTAATTTGTATACAGAGATTTAACTATTTATTTATTTATTTTTCACTTTTTCAAGTATTATTTGTTTGTCATTATTATGTATATACTCGTTGTTGTTTTTTTGTTGTTATAATATATAATATATATATGTCGAGTTGGGCAAATTAACCATTTGGTGTGGCGCAGATTGGCGTCTTTAGCCCTTGCTCCAAAAAACTGCAACCAACCAACTCAAATATTAAAAATAATACAATGACTTCAAAATAAAACATGTAAAAATAATAAGGCTTAGTAATGAAAA